ATTGCGAGCGAAATCTCATCATGTGAATCAGGCTTTAGCGTACATTCTGCGGCGTCCACCCGGAATGAATCGCCGCATGTCAGATTGTTCACGCGAAGTTTTGCGGTGTAACGAGCCTCGTTAACTGCGCTGAGGCGGCTCAAGCAGTCAGACATCGTAAGGAGGACGTAGAATCAACAATTCGAACGTGAAAAAGAGCGCGGGGACTCACACCGACGCCGACAACATCCCATTCCAATGGTTTGTTTATAGGCGACGGCGAGCTTCTTGCCCACACCCCCATCGCGCATGCGCGGCGCCGGTGCCCTACTGAAAAAACCCGTATAAAAATTCATACTGGTTGACCCGTATATCTCATACGGTGTTATGGGATACGGGTCTCCCGTATGCTACTGGAAACCCGTACCTGTACAGGTTGACCCATTCAGATACAGGAGCCCGTACCTCTATGGGTTGACCCGTTCAGATACGGGACCCGTACCTGTACGGGTTGACCCGTTTAGGTAAGGGAAACCGTGCCGGTACGGGTTGACCCGTTTAGATATAGGAGCCCGTCCGTACCTTACAGGTTGACCCATTCAGATATAGGAACCAATATTTATACAGATTCACCTGTTCAGGTAGAGAAACCTATATCTTTACAGGTTTACCCATTCTGACGCAGTAATAGGAATCAACATGGTGTCGAACGTTTGCATACGGACCTACGGATCGTTGCAGGTTTAACAATTCGCATGCATTTGTCATGCAAAAAATGAGCATGAGCCAGGTCATTTCAGGTTATGTGTATTTAGTGAAGGCAAATTGGCATACTGCAGAACATCAACAAGAAGCTTAACCTCTAAGCAAGCTTAGAAGTCAAGCTTCTTGTTAATATCCTGCAGTACGATATTAACAAATTGGCATACTGCAGTAGGTTGACCCGAGCTGTCCTCTTCCCTGGAGAGGCCTCTCGAGGATGCCTCCATATGTACTCGTTGAAGGCATCTGCAGGGGAAAATAATACAACAATAAGTCATGTATATCTACAGTTTCTCGAAAAATTTAATATTTTAATTCCTGCAATTATAAGCAAGCAGTTTCCACTACAATTTATGCTTTGTTAATATCTTGTGATACCATGTAGACTCCAAGAGCAACTTCTTACGATTACGCAGTCTGCTGGAAACAGCAGGTATGCATGATTCGGCCAGAAAGTTTTGAACCAGTTCAGACCGAGTTGGGAGGAGTGCAGAAGCAGTGCTCAAGTCGGGCTGCAACTGCGTGAAGTTAAGCTGCAGCGTTACAAACGACCCTGTAATTGGTTTCCGAAAGACCAAGGAGGTGCCACCTGTTACTGCATGAACACTGAACTGACTTCAGCCAGCGCAAGGGTGTGTGGAACTGAGGCTGAGCTCGTGCAGCACTGTAATAAATCGAACAGGCCAGTTCAGCGTCCGAGCAACTTCTGATTGAATCTAAGGCATCAGTTCTTACACTATTTGAACAATATCGACTGGTTCAAGCAAATCGAAAGACCTAGTGTGACTTCCCACAACTATGCACTTAAAGTTTGCTTGAAACAGTGTGTTCCTTGCATTTCATTGTCTATGAAAATAATAGACCCTGGAGCAGTGGGACAAAAAGGAACGGAAAGACACGAAGCTCTGGAGCTTTATGTCTGTCTGTCCCTTTTTGTCCCCACGCTCCCGGATTACTACATCTATCCTTAACCAGCTCGCCTGCCTGTAAACTAAAATGAAAGTATGTTCTACGAATCCAAATACGCGTATGTATTTTCAATTATGAACATGGGCCTCCGATTGCCTAAAGCCTCGAACACATTTCATGCCCAACAATGGCACCATGGAAACGAGTGAAAGGAACATTGAACACACAATGCTCGGCAGGCGGTTTTTGTGCGAAAAAAAGATTTTGAGCCGCAATTGTTGTTCTGGGCATGTATATAAATTAACAACACATATTTGACATCAAGAATCATTTAAAAAATTTAATATCCGTGTCACGACCCTTCAATGGTCCATTCATACGTGATAGGAGGAATACCCGCGATGAGAAGGTAGTTTAGAAAAAAATGTGCAGTACTCAAAGGACAGAGCCAAACATAGTTCGGTTCCAGCAGCTCTAGTGGACAAACAGACTCGTTTCACAGCTTTGCTAGTGCCAGCTTTTCGTTCAAAAGAAAAAATAAGTGCCTCACAGCTCCGCCGGGAAGCCAGCAGACGGTCCTGTGAGCAGGCCTCTGATATCATAGACCCCCCCCCCCCCCCCCCCCAAAAAAAAAAACTTGCAGGGATTAGCAGATATTTGCGACGCGGAGCATGTTTCTGTAAAACGTCCATAGTGTGAATGCATCAGAAAGCGCCAAGCGACCTAGATGACCGTGACAAGGTCACCTTATTTTTCTTCATATATTAAAAACAAAGAAGGAGATAGGGCTTCTTCATTTCGGTTTAGCGCTCGGAGCTTTACGTTCCTAAAGCTCGAGCTCGTCGAACTGTGACCCTTCAACAGCCTATAACACTGAAAGTTCTAAAAGCCTTGGAATATTTTATCCCATTCATTTTGCCATAGCAGATTGCAACTTTGGAAGCCATAAGGTTTGAATGTCTCACCAAGTATGAGATATCTGTGAGAAGTGGGCAATTACTGCTGACTGCTGCCAACTTGACTGGAGTCAGGGCCTTCTTGGCCACGGCGCCCTTGAAGCGCCGTCATAGCACCCCTCACACTCGGCCCATGCAGGTCCTCCCTGCCGAAGATCAGCTTCATGGCCTCTTTAACGAAGATGGAGTCTCCCCGGGCTCCCCTGACGTAGGACAGTTTGTACTTTCGCACCAAGACACCGTGGCCAAGGTGAACCTAGAAATAGATAAAAATGCTCTACAGGAAATGCAGCCAGCCATTGGTCCCAATCTCAATCTTTCGGAAACTTGTGCAGACATCTGCCGCACAATGACACTTTTTTCGGACGCAGGACATGCGAGGCAGCTCTTCACGCAACATCTTGGTGGTATTCTTTTCGGAGCTGATCGCGGAAATTCCCCACGGGCACTCACTACTCATCTCCAACTTCTCAATGTACAGAACAACTCATCTTGAAGTGCAGAACAGAGAGTGGAACAAACATAACTGCAAAGGAATCGCATAGCAAACAGTTCCAGCCATGCATGTCGTCTGCTGTACACACAAAAAAAAAGGACACAGAAGGGAACACAAAAAGCTCAGTAGGGTGTAGCCACGTGACCTCTCCCACTCACTCCCTCCTCTCCACTTCTCCGACCTCCGTGCACGGGTTTCAGTTTCGGTTCTGAGCAGTTGCGCTTTCTGGCTTTCATAAAGATATATGTGACTCTGTTGCAAAATATTAATATTGTAGTCTTTCGACACAATAAATCGCCTAGCAAAAAATGAAACTTTTTTTTTTTTTGGGGGGGGGGGGGGGTGTAAGTGTCCGTTTAAGTGAGTTCCGAGTAAAGCGGAAGAGAGAAAGAAGGGTACCAATTATAACAGAATTTTGATCTGGGCTCGTGGTACATGATTTATGAAAAAGCTTGAAATAAAACGAGGACACTAAATAGAAAATGTTTCAAAAAAGCGCCAATTAATTGGGAAGAAATATCTTATCAATGCCCGGTTCTACTCTTTACATTCATCAGCATTTTGAAGCAGGACGATGGTTCAATTTAAGGAAACATACAAATAACCTCATTCAAGGAGCTGTGGAAACCATAAAATGTAGTCACTTGCCCAATATCTGAAATGAATATTCAATGAAATTCTGAACTTACCTCATCATCGACCTCTGCAAGCACTGGCACACACTCGGTAGGTGCCTCCGGTGGGCCTGCTACAAGAACCGCTGCTGGAACAGCAGCATCAGCGGCCGGTAGCTCGCGCAACGTGAACTGGAGCAGGAGCACCAGCTGCAGGAACTGCCGCTGGGCAAGCTGGAGGAGCTGACCCAACACTGCCAGACGGGACTTTGTCCACTGCAACATAATAAAACAATGTTTAGAAACAAGACACGGTTACAGGAGTCGACAGATTTTTCGGACGCCAAAAATTCAGACATGCTTGGTTATTCAGACTTCAGCACTTCCCTGGTCCGTTGATGGCATGAGGGCTTCATAGTGCTTCATGCCACAGAATACTATCGGCAGTGTGCCTATTTGTTTTTCCGTAACACACCGGGACTGGAAAAGTGGTGCGAGCAGAACACACAAAAAAAGGACGAGACACAAAACCAAAAAAGAAAAAGGAAAAAAGGAAATGCGCTCAAATTCGCCGGCAGTGGGCGGCAGAGAGCATGTTTACAAAAAAAATACCGGTGAATAGCTAATGAATATTCATACCTAGCACTTCCAACGGTTTGCGAGATATAAGCTCAATCTTTCTGACGAAATCCAATGCTGTAGCAGATTGTCTGGCCACCTTTTGACCAGTTGCACAGTTGCGTCGCTAGGCACAATCTGCCGCCCGATTAAAGTTCAGCCTTGTTGGTACTGTGGTCATGCCTACGACCAGCTTCCTCACTCCCTCCTCCTCAACAAAAAGAACTCCTTTCCCCCCAATGACGAAAGGACGTGCGCTGGCCGGGCTCATCGGAAAGTGCATATTTACAATGTGGTGACCGACAGAACAAACATTCACTTCAAGCCTCATCAATGCGCACAGACCATGGTGTCTTGGTATGGACATGATTGTTTGACGAACTGCAAAAAACTATTTCTTTGGTCAAAACAACAGTGCTGCCAAGCAAAACGGGGTCATCGCCATCAGCAACAAGAAACAAGCTCTCAAAGCTCCATTTGCACCCTAAGAAAAGAGAATTATGGACACCAACTCATTGATACATTGAGGGCACCCTGTTGTATATGCTTGCTTCCGTTTGCGACCAAAAAAAGTAAAGTTACTTTTGATCCCTCGGATAAAGTGTGAGCACATAATGTGTCGTGTGTGAGGTGGGCAACTGAAAGTGCCTCCACGCTTACCCAGTAGTGCCAGCAGCTGCTTCCTGGTAGCGTCCTCTCTATCTGGAGCTCCTGCTCCAGGTTCACCACCCTCTGCTTTGCCGACCGCAGCTTTTCAACCAGTCAGGCATGCTCCACAAGCGACACAGTGGACGTCTTGTCCTCCGTCTTCTTTTTTTCTTGTACTTGCCACCCACTGCAGGGGATGGCGACATCTCAATCTGGAAAAGAAAAAAGGTCCACGCATTTCAATATTCATTTAATATAAACTTCCACCACAGGATTCGGACACACATAGTTCACATTAAATTGCCCCCCCCCCCCTTTATTTTCTAGGTGTATGTTTCAGCCCTATACCTGTGATTGCCCCCTCCCCCTGAAAGAATGCTTCCAGATGCCCATGACCATATATCCGGTATTCACGGTCATTTCAGGAAATAATTGCTGCATCGTCCTTTACACACTCTAGTGTGTAAAGGACGTTACGTGTATCTGTTTGCGCTACGTGTACCTGTTGGCAGCAAACACTGTATAGGTAAACGAGATAGTATGATAAAATATTGTGTTAAAAGTACTTCTCAGTTAGTTAGAAAGTAAATACTACTTTGCACCCAGTGTACTTTCTATGAGGTACGTAAACTCTCAGTTACTTTGTATTTGCAATCCAGTACTTTTAAATACGATAGCATTTATAAGCAAACCCTATGCACTTTAGGCGTCCATTGGTCCGAGGATTTGTTACTGCTTTTGAAAACCAGCATGGGCCGGCACATTATAATTCAGAAAAGAAAAACATGCCGTCGGCACTGTGCGTCAAACCCACAACTGTTGGGGTCTAAGCCGGGCACATTGTATCCGCTTCACTACGAGCACACATGGACAAGCATTTGCGAAAGAGTTACTGGGTGCAGGCAAGAGCTGCGTTGATGCACATGCCAGTGACTCAACGCCGTTGTTGCCATAGCAATGAGTGTCACATCTGGTCGCAGTCGCGCATAGCCACATCTGAGGAGAGCTCTGTGAACCACACTTGAGCATCATCTATCGTTGTCGGTATGCGAAAGCTGGTCTCACCAGAGGAACATACACGCAAGCGTGCTGAGGAACAGCGGCAGCAAAGTGCCTAGGGCACTACAGAACAACATGAAAAATGTTTGTTGAAAGCTAGAGAGGAAAGTAGCAACAAGAGAACCATCGAAGCGGATGAAAAGATTCAAAAGAGGAAACTTTGGCTGCAACGCAAGCAGGACGCCAAACAAAGGAGGGCGTCTTACGATAGTCAGTGATGTGATTGGCGTAAGCCGTTTTGGAGCACCTTTTGGGGCAGCCAAAACGGCGTTTTGGAGCAGGAAAAGTAGCCTTTGGAGCAGGCAAAAGAGTGTTTTGGAGCAGCAGAAGTGGCTTTGGGAGCGGCCAAAACAGTGCTTCGGAGCAGCGAAAGGGGCTTTGAAAGCAGATATTCTTAGGAAAATAAACATATTCGTTTTAGGTGCTGGACAAACGAAGGGCACTTCGGTCGCCGCAATAAACAAATTACGGTCAAGTTAGACCATGTGGGAGTCTCTCAACCTGTAACTGAAATGCCAAAGGCATAACACATTTTGCAAAGCTTCATTTAAATTCTACATGTATATGTACCCGTTATAGGTAAATAAGAACCGAACTGCACTTAATAAAATTTATTTGAAAATAACCAGCTTAGTATATAGTAAATATCACAGCATTAGGTCGACTACCGTAGTTATATATAATATAATAAATGGAAGCAGTCTCCGACTGATCAAACACGTAACTATACTGCAGTACAAGACAAAGGTACATTAAGACTAGCGGGTGCTTTTCTTTTTGCTTTTCGAAAATTTCTGCAAGGCTGCTGCAAGCCTCGATTTGCCTTCGGCTAGTAATGAATGTCCACTTTCAATGTCTCCAAAGAGACATTGAGACATCCCACAAGTGTACAGTGCTGTGGGCGTTGCCGAGCAACCCCGGAAAACCGCTTGCCACCGTTTTACTGGTTCCCGACGTGCCAGATTTTCGTCAAAAGTAAGCAAACGTAAAACAATGGGTCGCAAGCTTCCCAGCTGGTGCCTCTGTCGGGCAGTCATGTTCGCATGCACATGAGGGCAGCTTCGGCAGGCTTGCAATTGCACGTGCTTCGTCGCGGGAGTGGAGATGGCTGTTCGATCGAAACAGACACCATGCCACTCCGCTCCATCGCCAACTGGTTCCCAAAAATGTATGCAAAGTGTAATTGTCCAGCATACGACAAAAAACAGTCCAGGGCACATGCTTGCCAGGCCGGCAGGCGAGGTACAAGCTAAACACACAGAAAAATAAGAACCTGAGCGCATCGATTCAAGAAATCGCGAGCCAGAGTCAAAAAGTACTTGGAGCGGTCTGTGCAACGACTGAAGTGTCCACACACGCCCGCTGGAGCGCTCTGTGCAACAACTGAAGCGTCCACAGACACCCGCGTCTATCGTTGATTTTTTTTTCCTTTTTTTTTTTTTTTTTTTAAATGCGCGGGACGAGACACATGAGACACGACGAGAGCGTGAAACGAGAGACGGCGGGAAAAACTATGCAAGACCGGATGGACGATTGATACAGGGTACTTTTTGTCGGGCTGCCGCTTGCGCCACCTAGCTCACGCATGCTCAATTACGGTACTCAGTTTAGTTTCAATTTGAAACACAAACAAAATTGGTCTTTTGGCGCAGGCTTAGCGCAGATTACCCATATTTTGGAAAAATGTAGCAGGATGTAGCGGGGTTTGCCCCTTGGCGCAGTTTGGCGCAATTGGCGCAGCAATCACATCACTGGATAGTGGAGAAGAGATGCACCTTCGACTACAACGAGATTCAGACTTAGAGCAGGTGAGGAAGCCTCGTAAGACTGAAGAGGGTCAAATTCAGATATAATGCGGTGGAGAAACAAGCAGGAGAGTGTCTCTTGAAATTGAAGACGGACAACTTCGGCTACAGCACAATCGAGACCAGGAGTGGCCAAGCTGTGGCTCTTTGTGAGTTAAAGTGCGGCTTGTGGTCCACTTTCATAGAGCGTATCTACCTACCGGATCTGTGTAACAGAATAGCAAGCAATTTAAAAAAAAAATGTCTATACAAATAGTCCTGACCAGCCATAATGAATGGACACAATTACTCATGAGGCGAACAAAATGCAAGATATTCCTTAGCCTAACCGTGCAATTTTTTGCCCACAATTACTGCCCACTGGTAACAGATGTGAAGTATGGTGCCGATTTGAAAAAGGGACACAAAAGACGAATTTAAGGCCGCTGGTTCTGAACAGAGTCTAAGAATGGCGTAAGAAAAACAGTTTAAAGGCGCACATATACCTCGAACCTTGAGTCCAATATCATAGGGATGGCCACGTGCTTCTTTTTCAAAGCAGCAGCCAGCTCACCTCGTGTCTCTGTAAGACAAAACATGCACATTGAGCTACATTTCAAAGTCGTGTTTGTCCCCCCCCCCCCTTGTATCGAAGTTTATAAATATGACCATTCACCAGCTAGCCTGCGCTATAACCCATGTTTCAACAAGTCTTTTCTTCTATATTTTTACAAAGTAAATGCACCACCTAGTCGAACTTATGTGGTAAAGTTGTCGTAGCTTACAGAGCCGATTTGTTGTGATTTATTTTAAATTGTCGTGGCTGCCATCTGGAGCGCCCTGGAGTTCAACAATGTAAAACCCTTTGCTCTTGCCGCCCAGTTCTTTACAAATCCGGCGCAAGGACATACTCGTGCCCATCACATTTTGGAATTCTAGACGCCGGAACGGGGGACACCGGAACGGGGGACGCCGGAACGGGGGCACACCAAATTTCCGCTTTCCTTAAATTCCTTTAAACCCCCCCCCCCTTAAATTTCCCTAATTCGCTAATCTTTCCACAACCTTAAATTTCGCTAATTTTTGGACGTGTAGAATTTGCCAAAAAGTAGAGGCTCGCGAACATAGGGAGTTTTCGTAGACCGCGTTTCCCCCTCCGCTAATCTTTCCGCAACGAAGAAGTTACTACTGCGCCTGCACGCCGATAGCCTTGACTGTAGAGTTCCAGGTATATAGCGAGTTGCGGAGGGCGTTGCGGGACGGCGAAAACGATCTACGAAAACTCCCTATTAACGGTTTGCAGTAAACGTTGCGCTTCGAGCCCCTGATGCGTAGAAAACAACTTACCATTCTCCGGCGCACGCTGCAACAGCCTCCCCGTAGACGCTTTTCGGCACGTCGGGGTCGAAGTCGCCAACGGTCGCCGGTTTGAACTTCTTGATGCGGTTCACGCTGACTATTGCCTTCGCGCCATCAACATAAATCACGTACGCTTAGTACATATCGACACCGATAAACGATCGAGATAGCCCTAACGTCATTGCGGCTTTAGTTCAGAGAACTGGCTGGCAGTGGCTAGCTGGCCAGCGGCGCGGGTACATAAGGATTGGATTGGATTGAAGAAATAATCTGCCTTAGGTTATGTTAGTACTATTATTACTTAAAATAGTTTTAAAACATTTAAAAGCATAAAAACTTACCATTGTAAGTTTATTTCTTGTTAAGAAAAACATTGTTTGTCCGTCGTTGGTTGTTTTTCTGCACTCTGGCTTGCAGCTACAAAATCCAATCCAATCTGATGTCAATAAACCGAAACCGAAACTACCGCGGTACAGGGCTCAAAGCTGTGAAGCGAACTCTCGTTTATCTCGGTCTCGCTTCCCATGGATTTGGTTTTCGCATTTTATGACTTTAAATATGCATGTCATAAAATGGTTGAGTTTGATAGCTGAAACTGTTAAATTGAAATGACCTAATATGTGATTTTATGATTAAAATTTTTTATTGAAAAAAATATCAGAGTTTAGTTTCGCGGTGCGCGCGTTCCCGTCGAGGTCTGATAATTTCTGGTCGCGTTAAATAAAGGGGTATCCACACGAAGGAGAACTCCGCGGACGGATTTCGTGACGTCAACAACCCATTAAACTCCGTCCCCGGCTCCGCCGCGTGCACCTGCGGAGCTCTCATGCTAAAAGTACGAGGCCTCCGCGCCTCCGCCACGGAGGAGAACGGCGGCGCGAGGCCGCGAGGCGTCAAGAAGAGATGACGTATGTCTCATGTGATGCGCGCTCCGCGGAGGAAAGGGGCGGATTTCTCCTTCGTGTGGATACCCCTTAAACCGATCTCACCGGCCAGTTTGACTACGCCACCGCTGCCGCAATGCAGCGAGGGAACTTTAGTCTTTGTGCACGTGCGACAACCTCGCTGGAGCTCTTCGCGTGTAGAGCACGAGAAGACACGAGCCCTCGCGTGCACGGCCGTCTGCCTCCTGTGAACTAAAGTTATGGCGGCTTTAATGCGCTCAACGCTTAGTGAGATCGGTCTATTGTAAAAAAATTGGGTTGTGTGTGTGTTTATACAGCCTAGAACTTGGTCTGCCTCACAGGGGCGACGAGTCTCCCAGCTGTAGATGAGAAATTTAGCCAGTGCGGTACAGCCGCTAGCCTGGGGTCTTTAACGTGCATCACGCAGGAGTGATACACGACCACACGCCGGTACGGTACAGCCGCTAGCCTGGGGTCTTTAACGTGCATCACGCAGTAGTGATACACGACCGAACGCCGGTACGATGCTCATCCAGATCGAAACGGGCAGGGGTGGGGCTCGAGCCCAGGATCCCTGGGTTCTGCAGCGCGAGCTTTCGCTCCACGTGCTCCGAGCTGATGTGCGCTAGAACACTCGGCCACCGATCCCCCAGGTCTATTGTGAATACCGGTAGAGCCTGTACAAGGTTACCGACCGCCGGTTTAACTGCCGGCGCCGGTAAGGCGTTACCGGTCGCTCCGATACGTGGTTGCTGTTCGCCGCGCTTCGATTTCTGGCCACCGGTACGTTATTACGGACCACCAGTGTGCCGTACCGGCTTCGCCTGTACGTGTTCACTCGCCGCCTGTACATGATATGGGTAACCGGTACGGCGTATCGGCTTCGCCGGTACGTGGTTACCGGTGTGGCCTACCGGCGGTGCCCGTACGTGTTTACCGGTCGCCTGTACATGGCATGGGCAGCCGGTACGGCGTATCGGCTTCGCCAGTACGTGGTTACAGGTCGCCGGTACAGAGCTACCGGTTACCGATATGAGAATACAGGACTCCGGTGTGAACCGGTATAGGCCGGTATACATTCGTACAGGTTTTTTCAGTAGGGTGGCGTCCGCTAGGGGCGCTCGGGGTGCTCCGGTTTGTTTGTAAACATGAGTTGGTGTATACCTCCGGCTCAAGATCGTCCCCTAGTTTTGTTGGACGTGTGGAATGACAAAAGTGTAAAGTACGGCGTGCGGTGAGAGGTCACGTTGCCGCCGATGGGACTTTCAAGCCGAACCCGAGAAACAGGTGCGTGCCCTTCGGGCTTCGACTGGGAGGATTTGTTCGGTGGCCTTGTGTCTGTGTCGGGGAAGACGAAGGGTTCTCGCCAGCTGCGGAGGCACCGAGAAGTCGGGAGATGAGCTGCTGGTCGAAGAGACGGGAACAGCACGAGGGTGCGTCACCGAGGAGGAGAGAGTTTTTCTTTGTGAGCTTGGTGGTGTTTCGGCGAGGAGGAAGGCCCGCCGTTGGGGAAGAAAGGGACGCGTCAGGAGAGCCACTGTGGAAGGCCGGAGGAGTGAAGTGCCTTGGACGGGGCGCGCGGGAGTAGAGAGGAGGCCCGAACCAAGAAAAGAGCTCGTTGGCGGATTGGAAACGACGGGGGCGAACAGAAAACATGGGAGGGAGACCGCGCAGCGTTTCGCGGATCGACGGAGCTGACGAAGGCCGGCTTACGAATCCTGACCGAGCCGTGCCACCAAACCTGACCGCAGCGTCCCACCGATCGACGCGATCCTGACCGAGACGTACCTCCGAGACCCATCAGGCATCCAACGGGATCACCGAGACTGCGACCCAAGAAACGTCCGGCCGCTTCACCACTACGTCGCTCAAGACAGAAAGAAGAGCCCAAGGCCCCGCGTCCCGTCAACAGCACCGGCATCAAAGGGGGCGGGGCTGAGCGAGCACACCCACCGTTCCCAGTCGGACCAATTAAAGTCCGTTTTCAGGATTCGGTGTCGTGGCAGTTCTTCCACTTACTATCCCAAAAGGAACCCCAGGGAGGCTGAACCGCTACTCAACCGGCAGCGGTCATCACAAAGGCAATACCAGTACTTTGTTTTGACAGTTGCCGTTCGGAGCCCATAAACGCAGGTTTAGTTTGAATCAGGGATGGGCAGTATTTCAAATACAAGTATTTGAAAGACGTATTTCAAATACTTTGTGTATTTTGCATTTGTATTTAATAACAAATTGGGTAATGTATTTGACGTGTGTATTTAAATACTAAAACTTGGGTATTTCAAATACAATTGTAATTAAATACAATTTTGTGGGCGAAAATACATCCGTCAAATTTATTGTCACTGTCCAGAGCAGGAAGAAAACTAGGTTCTGCACCCGAACGCACTGCCTCTCAATCAAGCACAAGCGTTTAGTGACTTTGTGATTACGGTGCTAGTCCAGGGCAAGAATAGTGACGAAATCGACGTTTACAGGCAGACTGGCTAAATAAGTGCCTGTGACCACTTGTGATGCTTTCCAGCCTGATTTCCATCCCTATTTTTGCCTGGAACATTCTAAATGCGCGGGTCGTCCAGATTTTCGTAACTGGAGCGAGTTGCAACAATAAAAAAATTCTCTAGCTAGTGCTGCGCGTATTGGTCGTCTCGGTTCTTTGTTGGTCTATACCAATATGTAATCGACAAAAAAGGCTGCTTGAAGCTCTGTACTTTTTTCACCTATTACGTCCAAACTGATTACATTTTTTTGTGATTATATTTCTATTACGTTACTAGAGCCTCGCACACTGACTCCTGAGTGTGCGATGCAAAATTAAAATGAGACCCCAGAAACCCGTTCCAGGTACCCTGAAGTCGCTGACGCAAATTTTGAGGAATGTATTTGGAAACGTATTTGGAGGAGACCAAATACATTTGGTTGTATTTGTATCTTGTACTTAAATGTTCTTTTGGAAATGTGATTAGATTTGTAATGAAATACATTTTTGACGAAGTATTTTGTATTTGTGTTTCGATACATATTTGCATGTATTTTGCCCATCCCTGGTTTGAATAATGATATGTAACGCGCTTGAAAAGTCTTATCGCCACACGAATATGACATCGATTTGGGTTATGTTTTCCTGTTCAAATAGCTTTTGTATTGTTTCATCGGGCAAGAAACTAAAAAAAATATATATATATCCCGAACATAAAAATTCGTAGCCATGCCGTTTTATTGTTTTTTTTTTTGTTTTTTTTTCGTTGTGTATCCCACAACTTAAAATCAATCGGCGGTAAGCTTGGTGTAGGCATGGCGTTCAGCAAAAGTATTAACTTTGAACATTTGACTCCATTCGCTTCCGCTAAAATAGGTTACTCGAAGAAACACAGGGACACATTTGTCACATCTGTTTCCGGTGCGGTGTACAAGATACCGTTTTATTCTGGATTTTGCTACAAAGGTCAAACAAAAAGCGGTATTTATGATAAGCTGGACGAACATAAACGATGTTTCAAAAACAAAAACTAGTACTCGGAAGTTTCTGAACATCTTCATGCGTGTTCAGAACGTTATAGAAATCAACAACCAGAATATCAACAAAACAAAAGTGACCACAATCACCTGTTGCAGAAATCAGTCACGATTACCAAGCATGAAAATGCTGTAAATAAGCGGTCATTGTCTTTGGAAGCATAATATAAGCAGTTTAGGAGACTTTAGTTTTAGTAGTGTGTTATGTTCTTTTCGTAGTAATCTTAGGAGTTTGTGAGCTTAACGCATGAGCTCTTTTCATTCGCGGTGACAGAAGAACACAAATACAACATAAAAACTGAAAATACACTAGTATATACAAAGCATACAACGAGACAATAAAACTTTAAAATAAAAGCCATTTCAGCCATTAAATGCCATTAAATCAAATAAACGTGATTCAATAAATACAAGTTTGATTGTTTCCTGAAGGTGTGTAGAAGAATGTAAGTTCCAATATATCAAATATGTCAGGATAAACGTTCAGGAACTTTATAAAGAGATAAAAACAAATTTTACAAAACGCTGTGTGGCGTCGAGCCATTGGGACAGATTTTTTAATACATTTATGACAAAAATAAGATATAATATTGTTGGGATCGTGGC